AGACTTGCCACGGTCTCCAACCCTCCTCCTTTCTCATCCGGGCTTGGGACCGGCCATGGCGGAGTTACAGCGACATCCATAAAAATTTTTCTAGAATACTGAACAGTTCGGCTAAGAAGACAGTCCTAACACAAAAAAAGACATGATAGCTTAGTAAGCCGTTAGGGATCAAGGGATTAGCTTAGATGAAGGATATTTAGAAGTCGAACGTAGATTGGAAACCAAAGAACCAATATCCACACTACGTCTTCGAAAAAGACATGAATTCTTTTCAGTGTGCTTTCTCTTGTCTGTGCAAATGATCATTTCCCTAAAGAAAGATCGAAAACAAGACGCAAACGACACTGGATGAGTGATATCAAAAAACAGACAAAAAATGTCATAAATATTTGTAGAAATGCGCAAAACTGGAAAGGAACAGCATTTGCATAGTGTCGTTATTCCTGTAAATAAAAAAAAACATGCACACTGTGAAGCAAAGTGACGAAGAAACAGACTGAGAGAAAAAAAATAGAGGAAAGAGATAATTATCATGCGTAATAAGAAATTTTACACTGCACATCTATGACATAATTATGAATTTGCAACATGAAGTCTTACCGAGGTCACTCTCGCCGACTTCCAGCAACTCGAAGGTCCAGTTTTTTGAAAAGCAATATTTCTGGTACATGTTGAACAGTTCGCCTGCAAATAGCATCGCTTCTTGACCTCCAACTCCACAAGAAATCTCTAAGATTAGCGCATCGCTATTGTCGACTGACTTCTCACGAAGCAGTTCGTCCAGAATTGACGTTTCTAAAGCCTCAGACTTTGCAACAAGAGTCGCACGATCTTCTCTAGCGATTTTTAAAATTTCGTCGTCTGAACAGCCTGTAAACACACAGCTACTGAATATGAGTAAAGATATAAATAAATATTTTTCAACGTGGTACGTGTTGGTCAAAATAAAATTTCAAGGGGACCTAGGAATTGGTTTACGACAAGTTTAAAAATATTGGTTAATTTAAATAACTTTTCCTTAGTTATTGAAATAGTTTAGTTCAGACAGTGGAAGCATACAACACTTCAATCCAGACCAAGATCCGCAATGATCTTGCATCTCCAGGTGACGAAAGACCCGTATGTATGATCAAAGGGTCGCTGCTTTGTACTCACGTTCCTCTTTCGCTAAAAACATG